CAGGGGACTCTCGCAGGGACGTTGGGGAGACCCTGGCCCCGCCCCTGTGTTCTCCACCCAGAGAGCACAGACAGGGGGTCCTCTCCCTTTCACCTCCAGCACAAGCTACTTTTTTACTATTTCTTATTTCTTAAAAGTCACTTCTAGTTACCTGAATACGTTCTCTTAGAAGCACATGCATACAAACCAGGCCCACATTTTCCAGACAAGGCAAAAACCTGCAGCCCCACCGCGGTGCCCTCCCTGGTCCCCTTCCCTGGCCTTTAAGCACTTGTCCTCTTGCCCCTGCCCTTGCTCTGCCTCCCAGCCCCGGCCCCCCAGGCTGCTGGCCTGGTGTCTGACCCCTGCAGCGCCTCCCCCCCGGCCTTCTGGAGGTTCCCCTTCTGCAGTGCTCTCCATGCTCAGCTGGGGCAGCGTTCTTCAGGAGTCAGGACAGAAATCTTTGCGGGACAGACCTGCATGAGGAATCTACCTGCATCGCTGAGACCCGAGCACCAGGTTAAAGCCTCTCCAAGGCTCTGGATTCTCCTCTGTGAAATGGGATGATTACCGTACCTAGTTCATGGTGGGTATTAAACAGGACCTTGCAGGGACCTTGCCCCGGGTGCCTGCACAGAGCAAGCACTTGCCAAATGCCAGATTCTTATTACCAATCTTCTGTGGTCACTCTTCCTCTTAAGCTTCCCATGGCTCCCCGCTGCCTTCAGGACCGAGTCCATGTCCCTCAGTAGGGCTGCGTGTCTGAATCATTGACCTGAGCTCCTTGCTGTGGATCCGGGCAGAGCTGAAACTTCTCATCACCACCGGGGAAGGCCTGGCCGGTTCCCTCAGGTTTTAGAATTAATTGCTCTGAGCTGGGGATGCACAGACGGGGGCTGCCTCGGACAGGAGAGATGAAGCATTTTCCTGGAGGCCCCCACCCTCTGTCGACCCCCCCTTCCTCCTGTGAGCGCTCCTCAAACCCCACCTCTGGGTATCTGGCTAAGGTGGGACCGAAAGCCAGGCATCCTGACCCCTGCTCTGGGCCCCCTCCCCCAGCACGCAGGCTTCAGCTCTACAGCTATTTCTCTTCCATGCCTCACCCCTAGCCTTTCTTCCCCCCTGTTCCTCCTGTCTGGTGCTCACCCACGTATCTGTGCATTTATATATATTCTGGCCAAATAGCCAAGGCCACTCCTGCTGGGGGATTAGCCAGTGAGGCCACCCTGACCTCCGGGGTGGGTGACGGCCAGGTGGCCTTCCCCACACTACCCTGTGTGTCCTCCCCAAGCCACCCCAGTCCTTGTCCATCCACCCCTGGCATCCCCCCCGCCCCCATTCACTGGGATGGGGAGGCCTCTGGGAACCCACCTGCTCAAAGGGGCTTTTACTCTTGATGTCTCTGGCCCCTAAGAAGACCCAGCTGTCCCGGAAGCCCAGCTTCTTCGCGTAGGAACTGCCCAAGTTGGAGAAGAGCTCCCTGATTTCATCAGTCATTCTGCAGAGGACAGAGAGGACGGTCAGGCTGCGGGATGGGACACGGCGGGCTCCTCAAGCACTCCCGCCCCTTCGCGGCACGCAGCACAGGCCGTGGAGTCACCAGGAGGAACAGGGCGGTGGGGCCGGGACGCCTCTCCGAAGGCCACTCGGAGGGAGCTGGAGGGGGTGAGAATGGTTTCGCTTCTGTTTACAAATGTAATACAGAAAATATGGAACATCACGAAGTCACTAAGACTGACTTACAGCCTCACCCCCTTGACACCACCATTGTAACATTTTAACATTTTCTGCATGTCTTTCCCCCCATGTATGGTGGGATCATACCAACTCTTTTGTAACCTGCTTTTCCCCCCCTACTTAATACTAAAGGATGGCCACCTGAAACTAATACAAAATAGTGTTGAACACAAACTGTAATAAAAAATAAAATAAAAACCATTGAAGGATGAGTATTCTGCCATGTCCTTGAATATTTTCTACATCACCGTTTTTGATGCAATATATCCTCTTAGGTATATACAGAAATATGTCACATGTCACCATATGCCATGATTTCTGTAGCTAGTCAGCTATGTTGGACGGGGGAAGTGTGTCCAGTTTGTCACTATTGTAACCAAGGCTGCAACGACCCTCTTAGACCATCTCTTTGTGCACTTGTCTGGCTAGTTCCTGAGGAGAAGTTGCCAGAAGATGGGGCTGGTAGGGAGCAAGAAAGGGCATGGAGGGTTTGGAAGCATTTGGCTCCCTTCTCCCCCTGGCCAGCAGGGGGAGGTTCCCACTTACTTGGTCCCCGGGTCATCGAAGGAGGCCACTAGCACCAGCGCTTCCTCTGGAATTTCTTTAAGGAATTTCACCAGGAGCGTAGGATCTGGGGGAGGAAGGAAAGCAAGGTGCTAGTCACTCGGGGAAAGACCGCTGGCCACTCTCATTCCCTCCTGCCACCCTGATGATCTGGGAACGGTCCAGGCAGGCTGGTGACAAGCTCCATCTGCGGCCCGGGCCCGGCAGGAGGTGGCATCCTGGGGTGGAGCTCAGCACTGAGGGGCCAGGGCATGCCTGTTCGGTGTCTGGGGCAGGCTATGGAATTTGAAAGTTCCCCAGGGGATCCTGACGCGCAGCGCGCGGTGAGAGCTAGTGGTCTAAGGGCCACTGGGGACCTTCACCCGGGGGCCACGGAGCTCAGCCATCTCTCAGGAGCTCGGGGCTCTTTGCACGGCCCCCTACACCCCTTTCTACACTGGTTAAGAGCCTAGCTTGTCTGTGCTGACTTTATTTATTTTTAAAAATTAAAGCAGAGTTAACATATAATATTATATTAGTTTCATATGTAAAACAATGATTTGACATTTCTTTCACCTTATGAAGTGATACCACAATAAGTCTAGTAACCATCTGTCACTGTACAAAGTTACTACAATATCACTGACTATATTCCTTGTGCTGCGCGTCGCATGCCTGTGACTTATTTATTTTACGACTGGAAGTTTGTACGTCTTCTTCCCCTGCACCTCTTCACCCCCCCCCCTCTGGCAACCATCAGCTTGTCTGTGCCTGTGAGTCTGTTTCTGTTTTGTTTTAGATTCCACATATAAGTGAAGCCATACGGTATTTGTTCTCTGCCTGACTTATTTCATTGAGCATAATATCCTGTAGGTCCGTCCATGTTGTCACAAATGGTAAGATTTCATTCTTTTTTATGGCTGAGTAATATTCCAGTGTACATGTGCGCCACATCTTCTTTATCTGTTCATCCAGTGACGGATACCTAAGTTGCTTCTATATCTTGGCTGTAAATAATGCTGCCATGAACCTAAGGGTGCGTATGTCTTTTCGAATTAGTGTTTTCAGTTTCTTCCGAGGGCACGCCCACTGGGCTGCAAGTAACTGGAGTCACTGGGAGAGAACTTAGGCTCCTACAACTCTCCAGCTTACGTCAAGGGGCGAGGCTCTATTTGCACCTTTAACGCCTCCCTGCACTGTGAAATCTCTGCATTTACAGAGAGCAGGCCTAGGCACGGGGGAGGGGCATCAGTTCCCTTGCAGGACACTGATTTGTTTCCATTGTTCTTATTTTTATGACCAAAAAAAGCAATAATGGCTTTCTTGTTGGGGCAATGATATAATTTCCTTTTAGGATATACTTATTTAGATTAAAAAAGTGAGACAATTCCAACAATGCAGATGTTTCTCTGGATATAGTGTAACTTGTGCTGGGGGCTCTTGAGTGGTTGACATATGGGCAAGACTGGCCTAGTGGGTTAAAGCAGGGGCTACAGCTGCCAAATGAAGAAAATTAATAGCCCTGCTCATAGCATTTTTGTAAAGATCAAATGTGACAATGGCTCTGGGCATATAGTCAGTACACTATAATGGGATTATAATTGTTAGCAGGATAGGTTACGAAATTTTTGGGCGGTGCAAAATGAGAATATGGGGCCTTTTGTTAAAAAATTATTACGAATTTCAAGACTGTGATGGCAGAACATCAAATCAAGCATGAGTTTCCTCTAAGTTCTGGGCCTAGGTGACTGCCTGCCCAGAGGCCACTCGCCCACTCACCTGCCCTGATTCTTAGTATTCTGTGGGGATGTCTTGGATGGAGGGGAAGAATCACGTCCCCCAAGCAGGGGTGCCACCAGACAGTTCAGTCACACAGAGGCCTCCAGTCAACAGCCACAGTGCCTCTGTTAGTGAAATGGCCCCTGAGCTCCTGAGATAAGAAAATGAGTTCTGAAAGTAGCTTCATTCATTAGCTAGTATCAAGATCTGGCTCTTGTCTGGGGTGGACAGTAGATGTTTGGAAAAAATGAAGGGTGACTTCTATTCATTATCCCCCCACTTTAAGAAGTCACTGTCTGTCCTCTCTGTCTCATGTGGGAAGGTGTCACTTGTTCTCAGCATGATTCTGTTTCTGGTTCCCCATCAGCCATGGCTACATCCAAGTTCATAATAAGACATTATAAAACTTAATTTCATCTTTTAAATTATCTTTTCCCTTCTCATTGTGACAGATGACTTCTTTGCTTCTGAGTCACGTGGATAGAGTGAGGGGGGGGGGAAACAAGGGACGAGACTGAGCTTCCCTGGCCCCTCCACCAGCCAGGCTGGCCCTTTTCACCCATCATTGCAAGTTATTTCAGTCTCACATCAATCTTATTAAGTGGACACTGTGGCCACCTCTAATTCATAGATGATGAAACTGAGGTTCAAGAGGGGCCGCCTGCCTCAGGTCATGCAGCCTCAAGTCTGACTCCAGAGACTGGACCTTTTCCATAAGCCTGGTCCCAGGCCACTCGGAACATCTTCAGGGTCCTACACAGAGGACAAATGAAGACCTCTGGCCCTCAGCCCATGGCCTGCCCCACCTCTTCTCATGCCTGTCTTCAGCTCCATCCTGAACCAGAAGCAGTCGTGCAGACACACCAGTCTTCCCATGTGAGCTCCATCCATGCCACCCTCCCCTTCAGCATCAGCTTCCCCCTGGCCACCCCGTGGTCCTGGGGATGTGTCTGAAGCTTGGGGGGCGCACCTGAAGACTCCTGTGTGGGCCCTAAGGCAGGCTCCAGGTTGGCATATCCCTGGCCTGAAGGCCCCACCTGTGAGGTGGGATGCGGCTGGAGGATGGCCATCATGAAGCCCTGGGCCCAGGAGGGTCCCAGCTGCCATCTGTGAGAGTGCTGCTGTAGATCACCTTCCAAACAGGCCCAGCTGTGGCTTCTGGGCAGCAGGTTCCCATTCAGCCCCTCTGAGGCTTCTTGCTCTCTTCTGCCTGGTGGTTTTCTCCCCTTTTGGGCTCACGTATTTGGGTGGGTGCAGTAAGGTAGGTTTTCCCTGAAGGTGGAGGCAAAGATGGGGAGAAGGAAGCCAGCTGATTGGCAGCAGCAGAGCCCCTTTCACCGTGGGAGGAGCTGGGGCAAGTGGAGTGGGCACATGCTCGGCACACTGGGATGCCCGACCCACAGCTGGACATGTGATGGCAGGGACATGGGAGAGAAACTGAGTCAAGCTGGGCTCCAAGAAGTGGGATGAGCTGAATTCATCTGTCCGCATGGAAATCAGTCCTTGTAGGGCCCAGACCTCAGCCTGGCTGCAAAGGGCCACCCTGCCACTTTTCATTCCTTGCTGAGCCATTCCTGGGCCTGGGACTAATTCCACCATATTTTGGAAGATATAGGGAGTGCTTGGTCAGAGTCCTGCCCACCCTCAGCTTTGCCAGGTGGGTGAGGAAGCTGCTGGTGGGAACTTAGTTGTCCTGGCCTCTAGCCCAGGTCGGTCAGTGATCTGGGCAAGGACTGTGACTTCCTAAGGGGTGGCCTGTGCCCAGAGGAGCTCAGAAAGCATGTCTGTGCAGGGAGAAGAAAAGACACTGCAGAAAGACAGAGCTTGGAGTCTCACAACGGTCCTTTCTGGGCCCGGGGGTGGGGTGGGGNTTTTCTAGCAGAGCAAACTGGGCCATGTACCTCATCCCTAGCATGTCAGTTCCACACGTCTGGCCTCTAACTGCCGGCACCAGCATTTCTTTGCCTGAAACTCTTCTTTGGCCTCCGCACCCTTCTTTGTACCCTGGGGCAGGCCAGAGTGCAAGTACCACGGAATTAGGGGTGGGATCTCCCAGCTCCTTGCCCCTCAGGGGTATCTCTGAGGCATGTGCTTGACATTGGCTCCTGAGTTCGTCACTCGCAGTGTTCAAACACCTGATAACACACTGCACTGGCTGCTTTCCCTCCCGTCTCACTTCTCTCACTTCTTCTTCCTTCCAAATAAAACATGGCACTTGAATCCTGTCTCAGGATCTGTATCTGGGAGAGCCCAGCAGACAGCAGAAAAGCGTTTCAAAGGCAGCAGGACCATGTGAACCCCACCATGCCTCTTTCTGGTTGTCTGGAAATGAGAGCCAAGCCCCAGGCTCCCCAATAGCTCCTTTGCCACAGGAAGGAGCTCAGCCCACTGGTGACCTCATTGCCAGCCGAGGCGCCTACCTCCAGAGTACATGTCGAAAAAGTCCTGTCTCAGCACCGTCCCCGTGGTTCCTAAGGAGTGAGAGAGCAGAACTGTTATTTGCTGTAATGTGTCATTCTGCCTGTGATTTTGTGGAAAACGAGTACTTTTTAGTCTAAGGTCTAAATGTAGAATGATGACGGAATAAGATCAGGTCCTGTAGAAAGCATGCAGGACTAAGCAGGTGCCCAGTAACTGCTGGCCTGATCTGAGAGGTACAACATAATGGAGGAGGGGCTCTGGAATCAAACAGAATTCCACCAACCTGGGTCTATGTTCTGCCTTACCACTTCCTAATGCACGACTTAGCATTTTGATCTCAATTTTTTGCATCTGATCAATGGGCTGTGGGAACTAAGTAAGAAGATTTTAAGGTAGATAGAATATAAGGCACAATTTAGCTGCGAAATACAGATGAAAATAACAACTGTAGTTATTCCCACCCAGATCGGAAATCTGCAGTTTGAGTCCTCTGACTCTTGAAGGGAAGGGGATTTTCGGTGGGGTGAACCGCACTCGGTGTCCTGAGTTCAGTAATTTCAATTGTGTTTTGTGGGTTTTGCAAAGCATCCAAGACCTACGGAGAACCAGGTGTCCTGGAGAATTGAAAATTGCAGTTCTCACTGTCTGCCACTAGATGGGGGTGTTGCAGAGGGGATGGCAGTTCCCACACTCACCACCGGTCCCCTCTCCCGCAACAACCCGGCCCCCAGTCGGTCTGGGTTCCTGAAGAGGGTAGACCCTGGGGCCTAGGTGGTGGAAGCTTTCCCGCTGGGTGGAGGGGGCGGGGAGGGAGCTCACATCGCAGCTCCTGCTGGATTCTTCCAGCCACTAATGTCCAAGCCCCCGGGGCACTTCACCTGGGCCTCTTGGAAGGGGGAGTATGAACCTGTTAAACTGAGATTATGAGCACTGGTGGATTTTTCTGGAATTAGAGGGAGGAGATGCAGTTTGAACCGTTTCTCAAAGTCATCTCTGCTCCCTAGAAGGTTAAAAACCACCAATCTTCAACGATCTTTTTGTCGTTCTGGCTCATTGTACAGATGAGGGCCCTGACCCTGAGGAGAGATTCCTTGGACTTCCCCAGAGCTGGCATACAGCAGGTGCTGCATTCATGCTCCGAGACCTTTCTAGCCTAGGGAGGTAGTTCAGGTGAGTGATTAAGACCTGGAGCCAGCCAGACCCTAGTTAAAATCTAGATGACTCTATTGGCTGTGTAACCTTGGCCAAATGAGCATGGTGCCGTTCTAGCATGGTGGTGGGGTTCAATGAAACAGCTAGCACATAGTAAATGCTCAATAAATGTTTGCTTTTAGTATTGTTGATGGTTGTTTTTATCTTTGGGCTTTGTGAGGGATGAGGAAGGAGACCCCGGTTTGAGCCCGTGTCATCAGAGACTCTTTGAGAGGTCTTCTCGGGCAGTGGCCACCTTGGGAAGGGAACCCCAGCAGGTTGCAGCCAGGCCGGCTGTGGCCCGAGAGAGTTCTGCAGCCCGAGGGGTGCTGAGACCAGCCCGAGCTGCTGTACGCCCTCCCTGCAGGAGGGGGCCACCAGTGGAGCGAATCAGGCCTTCCTCTCCTCAAGACTTTGGAGCAGGCCCACCCTTCTTGCCTCCTACCCTCCCAGCCCCACCTTCCCGAGCTCCCAGGAAGTCGCCCAGGGCTGCCCTCTGACCCTGCTCTGGCACGGCTCCTGGGAAATGCTCCTCTCAGAGGTTCCAACCCTACCCTGTCACTCCCTAAGTGCGGGAGTATGGTCACATGCCACACACCAGCTTGACCTTTCTCTCCTGAGTATCCACTGTGCCCTTTTCCCATCTGCCCTGACCTTTGTCCCAGGAAGTGGCCCTTAGGTCCAGGGAAATGGCCTTTCTTCCCCATCTAAGAGCTGAGGGCAGAGCGGAGGGTCTTGGCCGGGGCCAGATCACATGGTCTTTACTCGAACCCTGTAAGCCCGCCCCTCCTGAAATGCATCCCTGTTTCAGGCTTGGCCTGCAGTTGGCCTCCCATTCACTGCTTGCTGGAGATGCAGGGTCAGTGAGGCTGAGGCCTCCCCTGGGTCTTCCTGCCTCCAGCCTCCTTGCTTTCAGCAGGAAAGAAGTTTCTGGAATGCAGGGCTGGGCCTCATGCCCTGCTCAAAGCCTTTCTGAGGCTCCTCACTGCCCTCTGCTCAAGCCCACCCTTTCTGGTAGGACCCATAGCCCCTCATCCTCTGGCCCTGCTGGCCTCTCCAGCCTCGCCTCTCACCCTGCCTTCCTCCGTGTGGCAGCCAGAAAGGCCCTGCGTGGCCCCCAGCCCTCTCCTCCCTCCCCGCTTCCCTGCTCCCTGCCCAGTGCGGCCCCTGCCCGAAGCAGCCTCCCCGCTTTTCTCCTGGCCCCTCCCGCCATCCTTCAGGCCTTAGCTGACCATCACCTCGCCTCCCCCACTGCCCCGCCCCAGCTCTGTGCCCCAGCCCTCAGAGCTGTGCTTCTTTCTCCACAGACGCTCACCACACTGCAACTGTTTGTGGACTTCATGGTTACCCAAAGGGGGCTCTGAGGCCCGGGCCTGTTCTCTGAGCTCGCGGCTGACCCCCCAGCACTCTGGGCAGGGCCTGGCCCGCTGTAGCTGCTGTCAAATGTGGCTGAATAAATGGATGAAAATGTGCACTCAGCTCCTGGTCACATGTTGTCCTTGATTGTCCCTTGTGGTCTCATGGGTGTTGGTTTAAACCTCACGGAGAAGCGTGTCCTCCTGGGACAGGCACGCAAGGCAGGGGCCTGGCCAGGACCGTGGCAGGACCGGGTCCTTCTTACCTTCTGTTCCCACAGGCCGGCCAGGCCTCCCCCTGAAGCTATGGGTGGCCCAGGGGACGTGGCAGGGGGTGACTGATGCGGGCTGAGTGAATGCACACCTCTCCTCCTCTCCCCCCAGTGGGGCTGTCTGAGGGGTGGGTCAGGAGCTCACCGTTCACCAGGGCGATGTTCAGGCCTCTGCCCACGTTGTCCTTCACAGGACTCATGATCCTGCAGAACAGAGAAACAAAATACGACAGTCAGTCCCGAGCGTGGAGTGAGCACTTGGCTTCTGAGACTCTGGGCCTTGGAGAGGCCCACATGGTGCCAGGAAGCCCGCGGCAGGACTGGGCCATCTGTTTCCCCCTGGCACCGGCCGTGGGCTGGATTCTCCGAGGCCTCATGGCTCGTTTGGACCAGAACAGTCGGCTCTGAGGTGTGGAGGCGAGGACGGCCCTCCTTCCCAGGCCGGGAGGCAGAACCCAGGATGCTGCTGCTGTCCTGTGGGGTCTGGGATCCCCGCGTGGAGCCCAACTATGCCTGCCCACCCAGTATCCTCACTCCTGTCTTCTGGTGTCCTTGGGAAAACTGTCCTTCCCCATCTTAATCCAGGGGTTTCTGTTCTGGCCACAGTGCCAGGCCAGGCCAGGCACAGCCATGCGACCCAGCCAGCCAAAGAGGCCACCTAAGGACTTTCACAGGGCAATTCGGATGGAAAGCTCTCTCCCCTGTGGGGTGCTGGCTGAGGCCAATGTGCAGACCCCACTGTGGTCCTCTCCTTTCCACACCATGAGGCCTGTCTTTGGTAGAGGAGAGTAGAGCTGAGACCATGTGAGAGGGAGCCCTGATGACATGGCTGGAACCCGCGGATGCAACTGGTCCTGAAGCCACTGTCTCTGGCCTTTTAGGTATGTGAACCACTAAGGTCCCTGCTCTGCCTAAGAAAGGAGGCGTTAGGTTCAGGATCCTGACGAAAGCCCCTGTCTCTGGCTTTTGTAGGAGAAACTTGCTGTCCCACGGCCTTAACTACCCAGGTCTTTCTCTTGCACCTGGACGTCCTGGTACCTCCTGGATTCAGACTTTGATGTCTGGATCTTGATCTTGAAACCTCCCCATAGACATCTCTCTTCCTAGGAAGCCCGGCAGCTTGGCTGTCAGATAGACCTGAGTTCAAATCCTGCTTCTGCCACCAGTGAGCTGAGTGACCCTGCCTGACCCTCGATTCCTCATCTTTATGGAGGGGATAAGCATAGCCTCACCTCTGGGAGTGCTGGGGGGTTGAATGAGAAGGTGCTGTAAGCACTTAGCCAGGTGCTGGCAGGCACAGAAGCTGTTAGGATTTTTGTTATTTGTGGCTCACCCACCCGGAGCAAAAGGAAGCATGTGGAAGGTGTGGGTTGGTCTCGAGGTCTCTCAATTAGTTAATGAATGAATGAATGAATGAAACAATACACAGGAGCTCCTCCGGTACTTACATGTGGTCTTCGAAGCATATGGAGGGGCCCACGACGTTGGCAGCCCCACTGAAGATTTTAAATGCAAAGAAGTTGGCAGGGCAGGACTTACTGAGGTTACACTTGGTCTTCATGACCCCTGGGGAGGGAACAGGCCAGACTTGGTGGCAGCAGCTGTGTGTTGGGCCACCCCAGAATTCATTTTTGGGCTTCCCGTCCCA